AACTGGGGTAAAAATCTGTCTGGGGATTGGTCCTACTTTGAGCAGGGGGTTGGAACAGATGACCTCCTGAGGTCCCTTGTAACTCTGATATTCTATGAACAGCTGGTTGAAGCTGAGTCCAAGCAAAACAGAGATGATGCTGGTAGGCAGAGGGAAGTATTTTGAGGTGTTTGCAGCTACTATGTCATGTCTTTTGGCTGAAGGTTCATAGCCACAATTGGTCAATTCAGTCTGTAGTCTAGGAGTACTCTTGGATTCTTTGCTGACACTGAGCCCTCACATCACAGCAATCACCACAAGTAACACTTTCAGCTGTGTCTGGTTATGTCATGGGATCCACTCACCGCACGTGGCACCTCTTGCTGGCAGCTCTATGGATTGGTTCTTGCCAGGCGCTGCTCTCCTCTGGCAGTGTCTCTGCCTGTCGTTTCTTTCACTCTTCAGCCCATCTTGCTCTCAGAGCTGCAGCTTCCTGTTCGTGGCTGGGCCATCCAGCCAGGTCACTAAGGTCCTCCCCTTCCAAGGAAATCAAAGTCTTTCCAGACCAGCTGTCTGACTGGTGTCTCCAATGCCCTGTGCCACTTCCTAGTGGCTGCAAGGGGAACCCAGGCCCACTCTCTACTCCGGATTCCAGCCCAGGGACCCTATAAGAGTGGCTCTCAACTTTTCCAGACCACTGTACCCCCTTTCAGGTGTCTGATCTGTCTTGCATACCCCTGAGTTTCACCTCACTTAAAAACTACTTGCTTACAAAATCAGACATCAAAATACAAATGTGTCACAGCACACTATTACTGAAAAATTGCTTACTTTCTTATTTTTACCTTATAATTATAAAATAAATTAATTGGAATATAAATATTGTACTTACATTTCAATGTATAGTATATAAAGCAGTATAAACAATATATTGTCTATGAAATTTTAGTCTGTACCGATTTTACTAGTGTTTTTTTTTTGTAGCCTGTTGTAAAAGTAGGCAAATATCTAGATGAGTCCCCCCGGAAGACCTTTGCATACCTCCAGGGATGTACATACCCCTGGCTGAGAACCATTGCCCTATAACAAGCAGCCAAGGTCTGTATGGTCCAACCCCTTACTGCTATTTCCTTTAGCTTCTTCCTACTTATCTGGCTTCCCCCTTTTTCTGGGTTTGCCAGCCCAAGCGCCCTCCTCCCAGGGAGTGACTATAGACTACCTCCTTGAAGCCTCTTATTGTTCATAGCTTCTGGGCTTTATATAAGCTTCTCCTGTTCCTGCCCAGCTGAGCCCATTTCCAATTAGTGACCTGCTCCCTGTCTCCTTCTCCAGGTGCAGCCTGGGCAGTTAATTGGTCTGCTTAGCCACTTTAACACCTCCAGGTCTTGTGTGGGTTGGACACCCCATCACGGGTTGGCTAGGAGACTCTCCCATCCCGGTGGACTTGGCTGGACTACAGTAATGTAATATACCCGAACATGAAACTTTCACACTTAGAAAACTCCAGCTAGTACAAAACGCTGCAGCTAGTCTCCTCAGCAACACAGGCCACTGTGAGCATATCACACTTGTCCTCTGCTCTCTACACTGGCTTCCCATAGAATTTTGAGTTGAGTTCAAGGTCTCAGTTCTTATTTTCAAAGCGCTCCATGACCTCAGCCCAGGATACCTAAAAGACTGTCAAATGCTCTGGGATGAAGACAATGGTGGACATTTTCACTTATCTGGCACAATGGAACTCTCAACAATAAGAGTAAATCTGTGCGGGAGATATAACTTTCTTCAGGAGTGGTCTGAGTCTGGAATGAACTCCCCCAGGAGCTAAAGACCATCACAAATCTCACCACTTTCCATTCCAAGTGCAAGGTATATTTCTTTGACCTTGTCTTGTCTAATGTAAACACATAGTAACAGGTGTATTTATTTAACAAATATTAAAAGAACCCTATCAAAACAAGACACTCCACTTCAAGTATACAATAAAATTACAAAAGGGACACAGGTTAAATATGTTGCTTTAAATCTCCCCAGCCCCTCTTTGATTTCTTTCCCCCCCCCAGTCTCTCAAGGCAGTGCAGTGAACATTGATACACTAAAGATCCACACACCTTCTTAATACAATTATTAGAAATAATGTTTAATGTACTCATGAATCACACTCCCGTGAGTGCTGTAGACCAATTACTGACTTCCAAAGCTATGGTATATACATGTAAAATAATTGAAGGAGTTGCCACACTGAAATTGCAGTGGGATGAATATAAATCCACAATAAAAAATGGTAGTCAGGTACATATTTTGGCAAATCAAAGCATGCAGTAAGAAACTAGTGAAGGGAAAATCAATTGGGAGGAAGAATTATCTTGTGGTTAAAGCACCAACCAAGAACTCAGGAGAGTTGCCTAGACTTCCTTTGTGACCTTGAGCATGCTAGTTAGTCTGTTGGTCTGTGTTCCACATCTGTAAAATGGTGTTAATAGAATTCCTCTTCATCTAATGGGTATGAGGATAAACTCATATTTGTGAGGTACTGTGGTGTTGAGGGCCAGGTAAGTACCCAGATTTCTATTATAAAGTAGTAGTTTAATTTGTACTGCATTGTATTCATTTGTTGACACACTAGTGGTTGGACCATTGCTGTTTTTCTTTAATACAGCTGAAAAAGGAGAAGGCTGCTAAACAGAAAGTTAAAGCTCCGCTGCTATCAAAGAATCCATGAAGATTAATGAAACAAAGGAGTTTTTGTAATACAGAATTGTTTATCATTATATTTAAGGGTATTTTCATGGTGTTTATTGCACACACATATTTTCTAGTTTCTCAATATTTACACTGCTGTATTAAAGTATTGATGAAATTAATTTAAAAATACTTGGTGATTCTGGTTCTTTCAAATAAAATTGTTACTTTCTATTAAAGTAGCTTGACATACTATCTAA